TTTCCAGAGCTGTCTTCATTTCACCTTCAGCCATTAGTGTCTTCAGATTCTTTTTTTCTTACCAACTCCTGGTCCTCTTCACCAAAGGGGCCATTATGGTTTAGATCCTAAATGTCATCCAAAGTCTTGTATGTTGAGGGCTTAGTCCCCAGTGCAGCAAGGTTCAGAGGTGTGGCTTTGGATCATGAGGGCTCTAACCCATCTTTTCTCCTTTTAAGTTGTGTTCTCAGGTGTTTTGTTACAGTGATGGAAAGTTGACTAACTCAGGAATAATTTCTAGGCTCCACAGGTAATGCTAGCAGTCGGAGGCTCTGCCCCATATGTTGAAACTTGTAAGTGAAGCAAGAAGAAAGGAATTATTTTCCCTTACTGTTGTTACAGTATGAGATTTCAGCAATTACTTAGACTTTGCTCCTCTACATTGACTCATTGTGCCATCCAGAAACAGAGTAACCTACTCTCCTCCTACCTCCTCTATTTTCTAGGATAATTGTTCTCTGCCTAATCTTCATATTAGAATAACTCGAGGAGCTTTAGAAATAATGATGTGTTCCTGTATAGTACATTGGTAGAGTTGTAGATCCCATAGCTTCTGATTTTACTATCAAATTGGCAGAATATTACATCAGGGTTTTACAAAGCTCCATAAGTGATACTAATGTACAGGCAAGATAGGGAACTTCAATAAAGCTCTCCCCATGAAATCCACTAATCCACTGTAGCACTTCCACAGATACTAATTTAACATTAAACAGAACAAGTAACTTCTGGCTGCTTTGCTTCAAGAGTTGCTGGAATGGGGACTTATTCAAGAGAGGGAACCATGACAACTGCCTTTTTCCAGTCTTCTTAAAAGAGTATATAGTACATTGACTTCTCCAAATTCTCCCCCCTTGCACTTCCCTTTTTCAGCTTAATCTTTCCTCATTCTTTCATAGCCTTGCTCTAATTACTTCTAGGTTTTAAAAGTCTTTTTCACCTTTGAGGTTAAGATATTGTTTGCATTTGATGCATACTAAATCTAGCAAAATTCAGTGACATATTGTAAAGTTTGTAAAGAGCCTAGAAGGTTTGCAGCCCATGGTTCTAGCTTCTTAAAACAACTTGGGGTGGGCAACAATTATAGTCAAATCTGCTTTTCTAACTGAGATTTCAGAAGGTCAATTGCAATGTTAATCCATATTTTTTATCCTATCTGTTCATACTTTAGGAACTTGTGCATGTTCTAAGAAGTCTGAAGTATGACATCTAAGGTCCAACACAATTCTTCTTCTCTCATTTTCATGAAGTTTTAGGTATCATAAAATTAATTCTTCTTGCATAAGGAATTGATAATTGAGTATAATGGCAGACCCTATTGGGTTATCAACCTTCATCAAGTTACTTTCCTATGATGGACTTAGTATATTCTTAGAGTATGAGGCATCAGAATGTCTTTCCTGAGAAGGGGATTTGTATTATTATCCTAAAGAAAAGGGGAATAAATATAAAATTTAATATCAGCAGAAATTTAAAAAGTGGTAAAATTCATTCACAATAGCAACAAAGATACAAAAGCACCTAGAAAGTGTGGAAGAGAAACAAAAATTCTATACATTTACCTACCCATGTGATATTTTTATTGAACATTTGTTTTTCCAGTTCTTGAACTTTGGAAGGTTATCTGAATTACTTAAGGAGTTCAGTAATCATATAGAGGCCCAGGCCCTACTCTGTATTGGGAGACTAGGCCTTTGTGTACTTTGTTAATTCTATTACACACCCAAGTATAGGAACTATTGCTTCAAGGTATCAAGTAGATACCCTGCTTAACACACCCAACTACAGGAATCATTACTTCAGGGTATCAAATAGATCAGGATGGCTGATTAATTAAGTAGGCCTTAATGGGAGGTGGTGAATTAATCTTTTCTCAGAGGATTTGAGGTGGCTTTTTTCTTGCATTTGACCTAGAAAGCACTCCCTACCACTCATTCCAGGGTCCCATCTCAGAAGCTTTGTTTACTCTTGATTTTTTTTTTGCCTGGTTAGGATTCTAAGAAAAGAATAGTATTTTCAAAAATACAGTAACTTCAACTCCCTCTTTATTAAGACTCTTAAACTTTAATATGCAAACAAATCCTGTTAAAATGCAGATTCTGCTTCAGTAAATCTGGGCAGGGCCAGAGATACTGTACTTCCAGTAAATTCCCAAGTGAGGCCCATGTTGACCTGAGGAATGATGTGCTAGCTTTGGTTCTCAGCCTTGGCTGCAAATTAGAGGCTCCAAGAAAATATTACAAAATTACTGACCCCTAAATCCTATCTCCTAGAGATTCTGATTTATCTGACTTAATTGATAGTATATGGCTTGGGTATCAAAAGATGGTTTTTTATTATCATATTATTGTTGTACTGGGGGTACATTGTGACATTTACAAAAGTGCTTACAACACATCTTAGTTAAATTCACCCCCTCCATCATTCTCCTTTGTCTCCCTCCCCCATGTTTAGAATAGTTTCAAAGATCTCATTTTTCTATTTTCATACATGATTACATAAATATTTCTACCATATTCACCCTCCTACACCCTTTCCTTATATCCTTCTTTCTTTTCATTTTTAGTAGCACATATTCATTGTATAGGGAGCATTCATTGTGCCAATTCCCAATAGCCTTATATTGTACATTGGTTAGATCACCCCCACCATTTCCCACCACCCACAACCCCTACCTGCCCCACTTAAAGAAATTGCAAGAGGTTTCATTGTTCTATTTCATTTATGTGTGTGAAACCTATCAACCATATTCCCTCCTTCATCTCCTTCATTCACCCTCCACCCTCCCACAAGTACCTCCCAATACTGTACCTGTTTTACAAGTGACCTTCATGTGCAGCAAGATTTGGAAGACCCTTGTCTTAAGCCACAGTAAAGTAAGAATATCACCTGTTTGTTGAGAAAAACTCTGAAGTTTTTTTATTGGCAGTGTTGAGGATGGAACCTGGGCCTTGGACATGCTAGCTAATGCTCTACCAATAAGCTATATCCCTAACTCTAATGTGACTTTTTTTTTTATTCATATGTGCATACAAGGCTTGGTTCATTTCTCCCCCCTGCTCCCACCCCCTCCCTTACCACCCACTCCGCCCCCTCCCTCTCCCCCCCACCCCCTCAATACCCAGCAGAAACTATTTTGCCCTTATTTCTAATTTTGTTATAGAGAGAGTATAAGCAATAATAGGAAGGAACAAGGGTTTTTGCTGGTTGAGATAAGGATAGCTATACAGGGCATTGACTCACATTGATTTCCTGTGCGTGGGTGCTACCTTCTAGGTTAATTCTTTTTGATCTAACCTTTTCTCTAGTTCCTGTTCCCCTTTTCCTATTGGCCTCAGTTGCTTTTAAGGTATCTGCTTTAGTTTCTCTGCGTTAAGGGCAACAAATGCTAGCTAATTTTTTAGGTGTCTTACCTATCCTCACCCCTTCCTTGTGTGCTCTCGCTTTTATCATGTGCTCATAGTCCAATCCCATTGTTGTGTTTGCCGTCTGTCATGCTATAACATGCATCATACTAAGATAGTTCAGAGCAGTGATTTATAAATCTTGATATCCCCCTACTGATGCTCTACCATGGGGAAGCTTCCATCAGAAGTAATGAAATAAGAAAAATTAACACTATACAACATTTCATAAAGCTCAATTGATTCATTTTAAGGATGACTCTTTGCAGTTCTGGTCTTCGTGATTTTTGTGTTAAAAAACATCCATTTTATTAAAAGAGGGTAACAACATCTTATGCTTGTTTGTTTGTTTCTCATGCCCTTAATTTGGTAAACAAAGAGTTGGGAATCTTATGCTGATCTCCAGATGTCTTTGGAAATTTTACTGATTCATGAAATCTGAAACTATAGGTACCATGGGTATGAGAAATCTATGAAAACTTGAAAAAAATATGAAAATCTTTGTAATATTTTTATAGGAGTATATTTTTTTAATCTTTGATACTCTAATCACTGGGGGCAATTAGTCTGTTGAGTTGTCATTGAATTTTATAAGTACCACAGTTCAATGTTTGCTATGTCAACTCAGGCCCACTAAGAAGTAAACTCTAACATGGAACTAGACATTGAATGTGCACCAGATGTATTAAGAGAAATATCTGTGAAGGATAAAGGAGATAAGGAGCAGGATAGGGTAAAGGAGTGAGCAGTGGGGGAGGTTTGACTCCTGTGGAAGGAGAGAGGACTGAAGGAGGAGTGGATAGGGGGAACCCCAGAGCAAAGACTGCCATCAGAGAGGTCCCGTGTCAGGCAGCAATAGCCCAGCTCTAGTGTTCCCCCACTGTGCTGGTTCATTGGGTAGGAACAATCTGGGAAGAGTGTGGTCTCAGTAGGGACAGTGCAGCAGATCCCAAAGGTGCAGCAGGTGGAGGCTGTCAGCCAACAGTTCTCTTCATACCAGGTCCTCTCTTGTAGGGCAGTCTCAGTGTGCATGTCCATGTCTGCTACACTGGGGCTTTCAATTTTATAGAAAAATGTATGTTTTCAGTGGGCTAAATATAAAAGGAAATTAACCACACACTAGATCATTAATGTCTCTCTGTATACCTTTCTTTTGGTCTTGTTCCTTTAAACTTAATTAACTGGTATTTATCAATTATAATTCATCATCATGTCTGCTGGGCCCACAATTGGTTTCTTTCTTGTGGTGCTGGGGATTTAATCCAGGACCTTGTACAACAACTCTACCACTGAGCTATGCCCCCAGCCCAAATTGATTTATCTCCATAAAAATGCAGAATTACTGGTCACTGGATAAGATGTGGGTAGAACAACGTCTGTCTTCTGTAATGACTAAGTGTTCGGTACTAGCTTTTAAATTTGTTATGCTGATAGGTAGTTATAACTTAATATAAATTCTAATTTATTAGCACTTATTATTGTTTAGGATCTTGTATTAAAGAAGGAGTTATTAAGCATAATTAACTTAGATTGACTTCTTGGTTTGCCACAGTGTGTTATCTAGTATGACAGATGCAGTGTTGGCTCGAGTATATAAACAATCAGATCTGGACATCCTGGCTAAAGAAGCATCCATCCCAATTGTCAATGGACTGTCAGACTTGTACCATCCTATCCAGATCCTGGCTGATTACCTCACTCTCCAGGTTAGTGTATTTTTTTGCCTTACAAAAGAGCAAATTCAGCAAATAATTTCTGACTAGTATTAGTGGAACCATTTAATTAAATGATAGTATTTAATCACGATTACCATTTATTTTCAAGTATTGTAACAAAAATTATAGTATAGGTATAATACATAGCTGAGGAAAACAGGGCATTGTTAAAAACCAACTATACGATCCTTCTGTTCTCAGCCCTGTTCCTACACACTTTTAAGCCCTCTCATATTTTCTTTGTTCTTTCTGTCACTTTGCTCTTTGATGCCATATTTAACACAGTAGGTGAATAGGGAATGCTAGGACATATCGAATGGATAAGATGTACATCAGAGTCTGTGACTTGGTAGTGAAGACCGATGGAGTTTGTTCTGAATATTCAAAATGGCCAATTACCACTTAGTTATTGAAAGAAGGGTCATTTTCTATCATTTTTATAAACTGCTTGCTTAAGAATAGTTTTAAAAACATGCAGAATTTAGGCTGGCAGAGTGACTCAAGTAGTAAAGTGCCTACCTAGTAAACATAAAGCCCTGAGTTCAAACCCTTCTACCACCAAAAAAAAAAAAATGCAGAATTTATAGAGTTGAGGCTCCAAGTTAGCCATGTGCTCCCAAATCAGGAACTTGAATAACTTTGAAAGAATTATCTGCTTTGGTTTGCCACAGCCAATCTACATGGTATTGCTACTTGAAATCCTAACAACCATGGTTTCGGAGTCTATGGATGATTCTGAGGAGACAGGGAAAACTGCATAGGCCCATTTTCTTCCCCGTTAGATTAAGCTATACACCTATTAATGTGAGGTTAACCCCAAAATGAAACTGTTCAGAGATGAGGACAAGATTCATGCAGAGAAGATGAAAGAACAGTGTAAGATACCAAGTTACTCTCAGTGGATGTGTCTTGACATTAATACTTCTGTCTGGGACTTTATATTACTAAATTATAAATTCGTTGAAGGATGGTGAGCTGTTCTGTTCATCATAGGATCTCCTTCACGACCTTGTGCAAAGCCTTCATGTAAGAGATACCAAAATAGGATTTCAATGAATAAATAGCAGCTTATCAAAATCATACGATCTAAATCAAGTGGACCTGGATTTAAATCCTAGCTTAGCCACCTAGTAGTTCTGTGATCTCCAAATTGCTTAGCCTTGCTCTTTTTATCTTATCTTTATAAATAAATATGTAAATTACATGAAACTTCAAGAAAAAGAAAACAAAGGCCTGTATGTCCATTGCGCAGTTTTGTCAAATCTTTTTGTTATTCATTTATTCACATGTGCATACATTGTTTGGGTCATTTCTCCACTCTGCCCTCCTCCCCCACCCTCTCCCCCCGCTCAGTTCCAGGCAGGTCCTGTTCTGCCCTTATCACTAATTTTGTTGAAGAAAAGACATAAGCATAATAAGGAAGACAAAGCGTTTTTGCTAGTTGAGTTAAGGATAGCTATATGGAGAGATTCCTACTATTGCTTTCATGTACAAATGTGTTACGACCCATGTTGATTCAACTCTGACTGATCTTTATATTGGTTCCTAATCCCCTTCTCATGTTGACCTCTGTCACTTTAAGATTTCTGTATTTGTTCCTCTGGAGTGGGAACATCAAACGCTTTCATGTTTTTGGGTTTTCTACCTATTCCCATATCTCCCATATGTGCTCTCCCCTTGTCATGTGATCCAAGTCCAACCACATTGCTGCATTTACCCTAGATCTAAAGTCCGCATATGAGGGAGAACATATGATTTTTGGTCTTCTGAGCCTGGCTGACCTCGCTCAGAATGATGTTCTTCAGTTCCATCCATTTACCTGCAAATGATAAGATTTCATTTTTGTTGAAGAGAAGACATAAAGAATAATAAGAAAGACAAAGCATTTTTGCTAGTTGAGATAAGGATAGCTATATGGAGAGATTCCTAGCATTGCTTCCATGTACAAATGTGTTACAACCCAAGCTGATTCATTTCTACCTGACCTTTTCACTCGTTCCTGATCCCCTTCTCATGATAACCTCTGTGGCTTTAAGGTTTCTGTATTAGTTCCTCTGCAGTGGGGACATCAAACTCTTTCATGTTTTGGCTTTTCTACCTATCCCCATACCTCCCATATGTGCTCTCCCCTTGTCATATGATCCAAGTCCAACCACATTGCTGCATTTGCCCTAGATCTAAAGTCCACATATGAGGGAGAACATAGGATTTTTGGTCTTCTGAGCCTGGCTAACCTCGCTTATCAAATCTTTTTGTGTGTAATGCTGGGACTGTAACTCAAGTCCTCACCCATGCTAGGCAAGCTGTCTTACCACTTGAAATTCTGATAACTGTGGTTTGATCTATACCTCTAGCCCAGTTTTGTCAAATCTTAATGTGATGAAGCAATTACCTTATAATTATTTGTTTTTAAAATAAAACATTACAAGTAGAAATGAAGTCCACTGCATAAGTTTGACTGATCTCATTTATTCCCACGCCACAAAAAAAGTTATTATCCTGATGTTCATATCTGTAATTCCCAAGCATGCATTTATACTTTAACATGTGCATCTATAAACAACCAACAGTGTTGTTGGGCATGTTTTCAATCATATATAGAGAACATGCTCAGAGCCACCATGCTACACCATTCCATTTTCTTCTTATTCCGAAAAAGGAAAGCTCTGTAAAAGCAGTGAATTTTGTCTCCTTTGTTCTTCATTACATCTCCATGATCAAGGACCATGTTTGGACATTGATGGTGCTAATTTGTTGAATGAATAGAATAAAGAGTCAGATTTGAAATGAGTGAAAATCTGAGTCTCTGTGCAAAGTCATATGATGTCTTGTTTTAAGATATTAGGACTTTTTACTATTGTTTTGTGATTGTACATTCATAATGTTGAATTGTTCCATGCAATACAAAAAATAGTGGTTTATTTATACCAACAAGGCATTAAAATTGAGACAATTTTTATTTTAACCCTAATAATTGTTACACAAAAGTGGATTTCCTCTCGAATTTAATCGCTTTCATGTCTTGCCTTTTAGGAACACTATGGCTTTCTCAGTGGTCTTACCCTCAGCTGGATAGGGGATGGGAACAACATCCTACATTCTATCATGATGAGTGCAGCAAAATTTGGGATGCATCTTCAGGCAGCTACTCCAAAGGTAGGGAAACCTACCTTGAAAGATCATGTACAATTATCCAGTGAAAACATAGCTTGCTTCCAGTCAAGGACAACATAGGTGAGGTCACAAACTTAGGTTATGTTACCAGCCGTACTATTAATTATCTGGCTTCTTAAAAGCACAATTTTCCATTGTACAATAAGAGCTAGTCTTGGCTGATGCTTTTCATTCTGCTCCGTGAGTCTGTGTTAAAAGTATGCCTGAATTGTTCTTTGGAATGTCCTGATATGAGCCATTATGGTGACTGACATCTTGTGCATTACCACACACAGGCTAAAGAAAGCAGTGAAATCCAGACAGCATAGAATCCTCAATGCATGGGAATGACACTATTGTTTTTCTAATACCACAATTTGATAGAAAAAATGTCAATCCAATGTGAAGGTCACAGTGATGGCATCTATACTAGCTCAGTGTTTCAAAGTTCATCTCCTGAGGCTCTTTGGCTTTTTAAATCTGAGTCCATATGACTATGAAGATGACCCCTGCATGCTTTCTATCCTGCTGCTGATCTCTTGCGGAATGTATGGGAAGCCTGACTTATTTCATAGGCCCAGTTCACCCTTTTGATACACAAGGGAATGATAATAGGTGTTGTTTCTAAAGCGAAGAAGTGGGAGGTTCAAGGATAGAGGGAGAAGGGAGATGTTATTTTCACCATATATTCTTTTATATGGTTTGAATTTCTGTACATGCGACTGTTTGATTTTTTTAAATAAATTTTTATTAGGATATAGTCATTATACCGCATTATACTGGGAAGAGGGAGATTCATAGTGACAATTCTGATTAGACTTCTATTGTATATTAGTTACATTGCCCCATCGTCTCTCCTTCTCAACCCCTTCCCCACCCCACTTAAAGCAATTTAAAGAAGTTTCTTAGTTCTGTTTCATATAAATATATGAAGTCCATCTACCATATACCATCACCTCAATTTTCTTCATTCACCTTGCCCCCTCCCACTAGTACCCCCCACACACACTGTACCTATTTTACAGTCCTGTTTTTCATTATTAATATTTAAATTGATGTTCAAAGGGGTGTCTCAATGTATGTCCACTCTGGGTATACTTTACTTTGGTCCATCTGTTCAACCCCTTCCATTATTCTCCTTTACCCCTTTATCTTCCACCCCCCATTATTCAACAGCTTTCAATACACATCCAACTGTTTGATTTACATAAGAAGATAAATGCATAAATAATTACACTAATATAGAAACATACAAATCCCTCTAGGGGCACCACTATGTTAAGATACTCCCAGCCCCGTACAGAATAAATAGACCTTCTAAAAGGTAAAAATTAACCCCCAAGAGACTCAGTCACAAACCATCCCCCAAAGATCCCCATGGAACATTTTAAACACCCCATCACTACTGAATTCTTTTCTACATTGTGTTTCTCATTTGGCTGTTACTGTCCTTTCAAGAGTCTTTTAAAAGGGAAATCCCCCTAAATAGAAATCAATTCAGAAACAAAGTCTTGATTTGTGGTAAAGGATAGACTTGACCTTTACATTAAGAAATAACTGTTCAGCCTGGCACCAGTGATTTGAACATACAAATCCTAGCTACTTGGTAGATTGAGATTGGGAGGATCACAGTTCAAGGCCAATCCTGGCAAAAAGTTTGCAAGACCCTATCTCAACCAATAATACCTGGGTACGGTGTCATATGCCCATCATCCTAAGGTACATGGGAGGCTGAGATCAGGAAGATTGCAGCTCCTGCCCAGCCAGACCAAAAAAAAATTTTGTAAGACCCCCATCTCAATGGAAAAAGCTGAGCATGGTGAACCTTATCTATAATCTCAGTAATGGCAGGAAATATAAAATAGGAGGATCTCAGTCCAGTCTAACCTGGGCAAAAAGCAAGATTCTCCTCCAAAATAACCAGAGCAAAAACAGCTGGAAGTGTGACTCAAGTAATACAACACCTGCCTGTTAAGCATGAATCCCTGAATTCAAAACCCCAGTACCACCGAGAGAAAGAGAGAGAGAGAGACAGAGAGAAACAGAGAGAGAGAGAGAGAACTGTTTGCAATGATTGTACACCATTGTATCTCTGACCAAGCATGTGCTTGCTGTTATCTCAGAAGTCACTGCTAGGGCTCACTCTGAGAAACTAAGTCATCCTAAGGCGAATATGGGGGACTTCAAAACCCCTCCCTTCTTCTTAAGTTTGAGAGATGGTTATTTGTCAACTACTGGGAACATGAATAACACAATGTGGATTAGCAGTTGAATTTCTCCAATAGGAAATACCCAAATCCTTGAGTCTCTCCCATACTTTTTACCCCCTCCCCACCCACCAGTGAGTTAGGTCAGATTCCCCACAAGCAGACTCCTGATGGGAAATTGTGTACAGGTGATTTACTCCTAAAAGAGACTGTAGGGGACTAGTTGGAGCAGGACAGCAAAAGGGAAGAATCCAAGTGAGGATGCCATTTATAGTGACTGACCAGGCTGGTTTCCCCAGAACAGAGATTTCTGGGGATAAGGAACTTTCAGGGCTAAAATTAGGAGAGTCCTGGGCAAACAAGGGTGATTTGGTCACCCTAGTGCCCTATCAGGCCCAGTCCCACAGAAAGTAGCTTCAGACTGATCCCCCTGGGTAAGCCCTAGAGTGTAAGTTAGACCCTGGGGTGAGGATAGTGGACTTTCATCCTTCTGAACTAGTCACTAGGGAAGGGCAGTAGGGGAGGTAGGTGGTAAGTTCCCTGACACTTTCTGTGAGAAAAAACAACCTGGTAGCCAGAGTTGCCTTCTGAAGAAAAGCTGTAAGTGTTAAGTATTAAAACACACTGAAATTAGGGGAGGAAGTAAAAGCCATAAGAAAGAGATCCTGTGAGGGCATCTAGGTAGGGCATCTACACCACCTGTTGCATCCTGTCAAAACAAAATGAAGCAATATGCACTCCCTTTCCCTAGTGTTCTTGCTAAACATGTCTAGGTCAGTGCATCCTGTTCTAGTTTCCTAGGGCAGCTATAATACATTACCACAGACTAGGTGGCTTAAAAAACAGTAAGGTATTGTCTCCCAATTCTGGAAGCTAGTAGCCACGTTTCCTCTGTTACTTGGCTTTGTGGCTGCATCACTTCAGTCCCTGCCTCTATCATCTTCCCTCTGTGTCTGTATAAATCTCTCTATACAAATGTCACTCTTCTTATAAAAACAACATATTAAATTTAGTCCTACCCTAATCCAGTATGACTTTATTTTTTAAAATTTTATTTTATTTTGAATTCGCATGTATTAATAATATGAGGGGATTTCATCCCACACATGTGTATGGTATACTTTGAACAAGTCCACTCCCTCCATTATATTTCCATTCCCTTCCCTCCTTCCCCCTTTTACAAATAGTGTTTTGTGGATCTCATTTGTACAGTCTTCATATGTGCATTTTAAGTGTATTTTAACTAATTATATATCTGTAAAGACCCTATTTCCAAAATAAGGTCACATTCTGAGGTTCTGAGTGGGCAAAATTTTTTTGCAGTGCTGGGGATCAAACTTGAGGCCTTATGCTACACAAGCCCTCTACCACTAAACCACACCAAAACCCTAGGACATGAACTTTTAGGACAGTATTCAACTAGAATAAATGGCAGGCATATGCAGCAGCATGTACTAGAAACCATTCTATTACAGTAAATTTTGGTGACTCAGAGAGATGACTCTTAGATAATTCACTTCTTTCATTTAACATGAACTGAAATAAAGGGTTAGATGTGACATGTGCTTACAGTGGCTTTTCTTTACTTTATAAGAAGGATGAGCCTACTTGCTACAAATCTAGTCCAAAGAAATGCTCTCTATTAAGGCAAACTATTACTGCATTTGGTTTTTATAGACAAAACATGCATTAACAATAGTTGTTCCCTGCTATAAGGTGCTTTTGGAAAGGCTTTATTCTGTTGAAGAAAAATATGGTTTAACCATTTTATTGTCAAAGAGATTTTATTAACATCAGAGGGAAAAATTCCAATACTACAGAGTAATTTCAGTATTGTTCTTATGTAGAAACTCATTTAAATGATAAAGAGTACTAAAACCCAGTTAAACCTTGGTGGGAGTAAGAATTTTTAAAAACCTGCTGGAAAGTCTAATAGTACAGAAATTGGCTAATCAATTTTTAAGTCTTCAGTTTTTAGTAGAACTATTACCTTTAAAGATAAAGTTGGGAGATTTATTGCAAATTTAAGAAACACCAAAAAAGTTTCCTAGGCCATAACTAATCCACTTCCCCATTCTTCAACCAAGAATAACTTACATGTTCAAAAAATAATAATTTTGTTCACGATTGTAAAATTGCTCCATAAACTATCAGTTTATGATAGGTAATGATTTTAATATTGTTCTCAGTGAATATTTACACTGAACTAGGTTTGTTAATCACCTTCTCCATCTGGTTTAAGATTTACGTAAAGGCAATGAATGATTTAATATTGGAAGCAGAGATGTGAGTAAGGAATTCTCTGTACTCAAAGTCATGGCCCAGTGCATGCGAGGTTGGGTGATTTTCTAATTTCCAAACCTGTCTCTTCGTTCTCTAAGTACTTATTGATTCCTTCTCTAAGAATGATTATGCTCAGGGAATAAAAAACCTGCTCCCCAAAGGGAAGGCTAAATTTGCAGGACAGTAGGCACCTGGAGTAATATCCAAGTCTCTTTACTTATGTTTGCCAGTATGACTGCTCACAACACTAGTTACAAAATTAGCAAGACTTTATTGATTACTTTCCCCAAATCCCTATGAACAAGGCTCCAGAATTCAAGACCATTGAAGTTGGTAAATCAGCTTAAAATGTCTGTAGACATCATCATCATCTGCAGTCATTTCTTTTCTCAAGAATTTTGTAATGAGAGAGCTATAGTAGACAATCATGTGTAAATAAACACAAAAATTTCGAATGAATAAACCTGGACATGCCTGTCAGGAAGCAGAATCTGAGGGTTTAGTGTCAAGGCTGTGCAAGATGTCTATTACAGTTGTGCCCTTGGAATCAAAAACTGTGGAAAAGAAAGGAAGGAAGCAGAGTGAGCAGAGGGAGAAGCTGAGTTACTAGGCAGGTCCAATCACAGTCTTGGTCCAGCTATAGAGCACTCTGGATAGGAGATGACCATTTCGAGCTGTCTGGAATTTGGCTGAGGGATTCAGGTTCTCATACCCCCCTGTCAATCACTCATTGAATATGGGGCCCTGGAAGGGTGAGTGACCTTGAGGGAAGCAGCTCACTGCAACTGAGGCAGTACCCAAGAGGAGCTGACAGCTAAAGGCCATCTTTTGGCAGCACCCCAGCAGCTGAGGTTGGGGCATGGTATAAGTCTTTATTCATGATTATTCATGGATGGGGATTTGAGGGATGTATCACAGAATTCACCACAATGCCCCACTGAAAATTGATAAAATTTAACTCATAATAAATGCTAGGAATTCAGGAAAATGAGAAGGATAGAGGAAGGGGAACATGATGATGGTGTTTGAACTGACAAGATTTCCATATGGTGGGTCTGGAGGTGAGGCTGGGCTAGAGTTTTGAGGAGCTGACATGTTCTGATGAAGATGCCTAGGAGAGACAAAGGTGAAAGTGTTCAGGGGTGAAAGCTGTGATGGCAGAAAAGGGCAAGATGTGTACAGGGATGACAAGAAGATTGGCTTTCCTATAGCAAGATGCTGAGAAGAATTAAAAGAGACAGATGCAGGGAATATAGGCAGGGAGACTTGATACTTTTAATCAGCTTTGACTTAAGAAACAAGTAGTGAACATGGAAGGCTTCAGAGAAAACAGTTCTCACTGTTGTGTACAGAATAGATTGGAGGGTGAGGAAAGACTACCCATGGGGCCTGGAATAGTGGGGGCCATGTTAGCTACCCCCAGAATGTCCTGTTGTTCAGACTTGGGATTGGAGTGAGCAAGCAAACACCTATGATGCAAAATTGTGCTTGTATAACCCTAAGAATGAGTGCCTCCTTCAATTGTGCCCTAGGCACCTTGCTGGCTCATCAAACCATTCTAAACAACCATATAATCTTAGTATAAAAAAACACTGTACTTATGTAAATACCATTTCAAAACAAGCCCCCTGCAAAAGAATAAGGTGTATGTGTGGTGTCTGTTAGCCTTTAGCTAGAATGGTCACAGAGCTTTTCTGAGGAGCAGTCATTCAAACTGAGACCTGAAATGTTATCCATGTGGAGTGGACAGGGAAAAGCATTTCAGACCAAAAAGAAAGGGAGAGAGAACAACATGTGGAAAGGCTCAGACAAAAATGCATTAGGCTGTACATAATTGTATATAATCCTCTTAAGCTATTAGGAGAACAAGAAGAGGGGCTGCCAAGAGCTAGAAAGTACCATACTTGTTGAGGTCAGAGATAATCGAAGAAAGACAGGGCAATTAGTTGCTTTTTCAGATTCTGAAAGGCACTATGAACATGGTTGGGCTACATCTTTAAAAAGGGAAGAAGAGAGGAACTGTTGTTAAAAATAGAATTGTGCATATATAAGAAAACATATATACTACAATTGCCTAAATAACGTTTAAATCCTTCCTCCTTCAGGGTTATGAGCCGGATCCTAGTATAATCAAGCTGGCAGAGCAATATGCCAAGGAGGTATGTTCCCTATGTGTAAAGCTAAACTTGCCTTTCTCTGTCCCATGAAGTTGTTTAATCAGCATGCTTATATGTGCTAGAACGGTACCAAACTATTGCTGACAAATGATCCATTGGAAGCAGCGCACAGAGGCAACGTATTAATTACAGACACTTGGATAAGCATGGGACAAGAAGAAGAGAAGAAAAAGAGGCTCCAGGCATTCCAAGGTTACCAAGTTACAATGAAGGTACAAATTGATGCCTCTCTGAAGGTTCATTAATTCTATTCCTAAAGGCTAGAACTATCTAATCACTCATTCACTTTAGGGAGAGCAAGCTGTCCTTTTATACACTATAAAGGACTCACCACATCCTCTAGAGATTTCTCTCCTCCCAAAGATTAGCTGAGTCCTTTTGGAAAGACACTTTTCTGCTGGACAAAGGAATTTCAAACCCAGGCAGCAGAGAAAAGCAAACTTTTCCCTTTGTCAGTAGTAGAGGTACCAGAATGCTTTTCTCTGTATGGTTAGAGACAATAGGTTACTTCTGATGCATGCAATTTCTTTTGATTTCTCCCCAATCTCTATGTCCATCAGACTAGTCCTTGCTTCTATTTTAAGGATCCTGAATTCCAATTTAATTTTGCCAACTCCCTCCAGGGCATTCGTTGGGGATTCTTACTGGATCTGATCCCTTCTAGGAAGTCCTAAAACAGTGCATCTCCATCTTGAGCAGGCATTAAAATTGCCTGGAGGTGTTATTAATTCGCAGCTGGCTCACCCAACTCTGGGGATTCTGATTCAGTAGATCTGAGTGAGACCTGAGAATGTGCTTTTTACCTAGTTCCCAGGTGATACAATGCTACCGCTCCAGGACCACACTTTTGAGAACCACTGTTTTAAAAGAACACCCTGAAAGACAGGTGCACACTAGGGGGTTTTGTCCACAGAACAACTAACATGCTTTGGTGGAGAAAGTGATTCAGCAAGTACAGTAAATGTTTTCTTGATAAAGTAATACATAAATACAAGTTCCTTATTATTATATGTCAAATAGAATGGGAGTGTGAAAATGTCTTTCTTTGTCCCCTAAACAGTCATTACTCCCAGAGGTAACCAGTTTAACAATTTCATGTGTTTCTTTGTAGACCTTTTCTGTACATTTGCATATATATGCCTATATGTACACAACTGTTGACTTTTCACAAGAGATATTTTAGACATTATTATTCTGACTTGCTTTTACCACTTAATAAATCTTAGATTTTCTTGTTTATTCATTTAGATATCTTTCATTCTTTTTAGTAGCTGCACAGAATCCCAAAGTATGAGTGGACTATAATTTATCTACAATGTTTCCTATTGATAAAATTAAGCTATTTCCAAAACTCCCAATTGCAAGCAATGCTATAATGAACACCCTTGTACTTATTTCTTTGTGAAAGTAGTACTGGAAAATAAATTCCCAAAAGAATTTCTAGGTGATGTGTTAGATATTTTTTAACTATAACAGATACCCATCCAAAAAGAGTGAACAATTTATACTTCCACAGCTGTATTTTATAGTTCTTTCTAAACACATTCTTCATTCTTGTTATTTACATTTTTAACTTTTATAAGTCTGAAGGAAAATGGTCTCTTTTTTAAATTTTCATTTCCCTCATTACTGATGAAGTTAAGCATCTTTTCATGTTCATTTGTCATTTCTACTTCAATTTGCTATCATTTCTTTGCCCATTTTCTATTTCTCTCACCTTTTTATTATTGGCTATAAGGGCTTTTTATATATTAAGGCTAATTCCTTGTCATGTACATTACAGTCGTTTCATGGATATTTTTAATTTTCTATGGTTTACCTCATGCTTACCTTGGGTATTTTTCTGGTGCCAGGCCTATAGGCTTGAAAAGTAATCATTTTACTGATGTATGATGGGTATAAATGTTACTTCTTTTCCATGCCATTTTCCTAGTTTTAGAAACCTGGTTGTTCTGAACTTAGAGCTAGGGTAGAAGTAAAAGGAAATTTTAGTACAAAGGCAGTAATTTTGAGATAAGAAAATATGAAGAACTAATAGTTTTGAATCTGTAAGTGAACAGTGGAAATGGATGGGAAAATGTAACTTACAGAATGAATTGTTGGAGAAAATTGAGTTTGCTAGCACATTTGCATTAAGAATGAAATATCTAATGCATAGTGCTCATAATCCTGTTTAGCGTACCTCTGCCTCAGTACTTTTTCAAAATTGTGTTAATTTGTGACAAAGTATGCTTCAAGTGGTGAAAAATCATAATTTGAAGATAAGCTCAAAATATAGTATCATCACATCAAAGCAGCATTTTTTATATGTTGAGTTATCATTGGTGACTTTTGCTATCCACATATTATAGTAGTAGAGTTCTTTATTGACATGTCCACTATCTGACTGAACAGGATATCAAAAAACAGTGGTTTAATTTGGAGTGATGACCTCCCAAATTTAAAAAAATGACTATAATATTCCTTAAGTTGAAAGAATTACATACATTTGCCCTCGTGCCTTGCACTAAAAACTTCACTCTGCGGCTTTGTTTCTTCTTGTATTGGTCTCTGACCCCAAGCCATATGTATTTTTAAATATTGAAGCAAACATATGTGACTGTCACACATAATTGTCTTTTCTCCATCTCTTTAGACTGCTAAAGTTGCTGCTTCTGACTGGACATTTTTACACTGCTTGCCCAGAAAGCCAGAAGAAGTGGATGATGAAGTGTTTTATTCTCCACGATCATTAGTGTTCCCAGAGGCAGAAAACAGAAAGTGGACAATCATGGTAAGAAAGAAATGGGGAAATGAAGGGGTAAAGAATTCTCTGTGTGGTTCTAACTTGGCCATCCGTGCCTTTTGGTAAATAATAAGCAACCAAGATTATCCAACTACATTACTTGCTCATGTGGCTTCTGCTTTTGTCCAGAAAGTTCCTAATGGATCATTATTGCACATTAGCATTTAGAGTGCATTTTAATGGAGTAAAATTGATCCCCTTCCAAATGCATGTACTTTAATCAAAGTTCACTGCCATTCTTCAGCCTGAGAACTAGTCACCATTTTCTGCCAACAATTATACATTATATGAGTCTTATTTTCTAATCCGTTTGTAGTTTATAGATGTCCCTAATTCAGTGCCTGATATAAAAATAGGTATTCAAAAAAATCTTATTTCCTTCCTCCTCTCTTTCCTACTTTTATTCATTTCTTTATGACTTGACCAGATAATTGTTTCAGTTCTCGGCTAGAGTTTGACAGTACAAGTCCATTTGTTTTTTGGTAGAGAACATTTCAAAATAGCCAAACTTACTTTAAAAATTATTAGTCCCTGCCAGGTGTGGTGGCTCACACCTGTAATCCTAGATGCTTAGGAGATGGAGATCAAGGGGATTGTGGTGAAGAAAACCCAGGTAAAATGCTAACAAAACCTCATCTCAACCAATAAAAAGGCTGGGCATGGTGGCTAGACAGGAAGCATAAATAGGAGGATCCTGATCCAGGTCAGCCTGGGCATAAATGTGAGACTATTCCAAAAATACCTAAAGCAAAGAGGGCTGGGGGTATAGCTCAAGTGGTAGAGCACCTACCTGACAAGCACAAGGCCTTGTGTCTTAACCCCAATAGCACCAAAAATATTATTAGTCCCTTTTAGATAAAGCCACTAGTCATATTTTTCTGCCATTCTAGAAAATATTAACCAAGTCTCTGCTTTGCAGTATTCCAGTGGAAAACTTCTCTGGAAAACTGAATACTCACATGCTATAAGTAAACTCCACCACTTATGCTTTAAGTGATTTAACTGGTCTCAATTGCTGTACTAGCCAGATTCTTATTTACAAATGGCAGAGTCCATTCCATTTTCTAGGAGGAAAAATTGAAAGGAATTTATTTAAAGACATTAAGTAGCTCCAAAAATCTCTCAGGAAAGAGGGTGCAGTGAATCATACTTGAACACCACATAACCAGGGAAAACACAGGAAATTTGTCCCAAACCACTGTGAATCTTTTATAGCCAGAAAGCCACTGACACAACCACCTATAGCCTGGTACCTAAGGCCCTAAAAACTAGATGCCGTAGTTCATTATAACTACCCCAGCTGAAATAGATACTTCTACATATACATAGAGTAGAAAATCCAATTTCTAAGAGAATGGCTTCTACTGCATGTTGTTCACTTATGCATCCAAGTCTTGAAAAGATGAAGCGCAATAACATACTTGTACCATAACTGCAAGGGAGTCTGGGCAATATATATTTTTTTAGCATTCAATCTCAGTGCAGTAGTGTAAAGCAAGCAGGAAAAGACTATCTGTTAATTATTAATGTAATCTGTAAATAAAAATAGGCATATTTTGAGCATTAAAGAATGCATATAAAGATTTAGTATATTGCTTTGTAAATATTATCATCATTATCATCTTCATTGTTGATCTGATATCGTGAACAGCAAGCATTAAAGTTCCACTGTGGCTACTTGGAAGACAATAATTACTCCTTTTTCAATGTAAGGCCTAAATTTGTTGTATCTAATAAGATTTTTTTTATTGCACCTTTCCAACTTGTCACTTCAGGACACCAACTTTGGCCAAAATAGCAATTGTCATGTCTTTTAGACCAGCACTTCTGAAGCTTTAATGTGAATTTGATTCACCTAGATACCTTATGAAGTGCAGATTCAAATATAGTAGGTCTGTGATAGAGTCCCAATATTCAGCATTTCTACAGAGCACTCAGGAAATTCAGGTGCCACTGTCCTGTGGACCACATTTTGAATAGCAAAGACCTAGATGACAAAAGGAAAATGGGAGGTCTCCACCCATATTCCTTAGGAAGAGACATAGCAAAAATTTTTCTTCAAACTATTTTTCATTAGAAGGCAATTGAAATTACAAAACTAAATCTGCTAAAGTACATTGTAGAAATTGAGGGGGAAAACTTCTTAAAAGTTTTCTTAAATTGTCAGTTATGGAGTTGCTCTATACTTTTAAATTTTTAGAGATTATTAAACAACCTCTTTAAATTTACTTTAAAAATTAAGTATATAATTCATTCACATGGTTAAAATGTTTACAAGGACACGCACAGTGAAGTCTCAATCCCATTTTCCATCCATGTAGGTCTTACTGCTGTCTCTCCATTTCCTGTTCCTCTGAGATACCCACTATTATTAAGAGAAAATGTATTTTAAATAAATCAAAAGGCAGAGCTCGGTCAAAATGAAGGTAGAAAGAATGCTAAACTGAGAGTGAGGAGACAACTTCTATAACTTGCTTCAATACTAGTCATCTGTGTCATCTTTGATAAGTATTAATTAGCTCTCTAGGTTCTAGTTTCCTCATCCATAAAAGAAGCAGATTGCATGATAGAGATGGCAAACGAATTTTAAACTTAGGTCTCATTAACAGGCTAATCGTAGTCCAGTGTGGAGAAGGATTCTGAGCCTGCCTGTGGTATGGGACAGAAAGAATGGTATAACTGATTAGTGTGCCTGACACAGATACTGGAAAGGTGGCAATACATCTGCTGTACTCCCTGTTTAGCAGGGCTGGATGATTTAGAGGTCCTTTTGCATCCAAGTAACTGTATCAGTCATACACTGAGCATCTGCACTCTGTGCCAGGTTCTGTGCCAGGACCTCTGCCAGGCATTTGAGATTTTAAAAAGAAAAAAAATATGCAATTTCCGCATAGCCTGTAGAATTCATAAATGCATAACATTTTAAAGTAGGATGAGACCTTAGAGATTACCTAGACTGTATTCCTATTTTATAGGCAAAGAAATTATTCTTATTTTTTTGGTGGGACTGGGGTTTGAATTCAGTCTCATGTTTGCAAAGTACGCAATCTACTGCTTGAGCCATACCTCCAGTCAAAGAAATTATTCTTAGACAGCTTATTTAGAATGACTTTTAGGCTCAGCACTGCTGTGGTAGATTTTTCTAGGATACCTTAGAAGGACAGTACTTTCTTACCTCTACAACTGCCCAATATAATGCATCAGCCACTAGGTAGGATATTTAAATTTAAATTTAAGCTGGGTGCTGTCAGTTCACACATGTAATCCTAGCTACTCAGGAGGCAGAGATGAGAAGGATCACATTTTGGAGCCAGCCTGGGAAAATAGTTGCAAGACCCTATCTCAAAAATACCCAACATAAAAACAGGGGTGGCAGAGTGGCTGAAGTGGTAGAGCACCTTCCTAGCCAAGCACAAGGCCCTGAGTTCAAACTCCAATACTGCAAAAGAAATTTTTTTAAATTTAATAAAATTGAAGGTTCAATTCCTTGGTCATACTAACTACAAACTCAAATTAAGTACTCAATACTGACTATAGCTAGTTACTCTTATATTGGACAGTCCAGGTAGAGCATTTCATTACTACAGAAAGTTCTGTTGGACAACACTACACTAGGGAATGATTTTCACACACATAACTTTAAAATCAGGATGGAAGAAAGAAGGAAAGACATGGTCGCCTCCAGTTTTGAGATGTGTCTGAAAATTAATGTAAGGTATTTAACTAAGAAAGAATAAGGAGCTTGTTTTTAAAGTGTGTAGCAACTCTCAAGCACTCAGAGTAGCTTTGTAAGGCCGCTAATGCTGGGTACTTTGCTACAGTTCTATTCAGAACACTCAGAATCACATCATTCTCTCCACAGCATATAGGCTTTTGGGTTCTTTTCTTTAAAAACAAGAACAAAACAAACCCACCCTTTGCTCCCCACAAAGGTTGTTCATGTGTTTTTCAGTGATTAGTAAGGCTATAGTATTCCCAAAAAAGTCAAGAGTGTTTCCTCCTCTGCCTACACATTTTGATGTGGTACTAAAGTAACCTGAAGGGACTCTACAAAAATGCTGATATTTCAAAACACTGCTATCTAGAAGTCCCTTAAGTACGTAATGCCATTGCAAATGCACTTCATAATATTTATAGCCTTTTGCTTCTCTCCAAATAGGAGGTGCCAGATAAAATACAGGATATTGAGTTAAATTTGAATTTCAGATAAACGATGGATATGTTTTAGTATGTCCCATGAGGTACTTAAAACATACTTATAGTAAAAAAATGTTTTTCTGACATTCCTATTGTCTGTATTTATTTATATAACTCAATTTAGCAACCCTACCCCTTTCTAAATTTTTGACTTGAAAATACACTTGACATTTCCAATGACTATGAACAACAAAGGAAAACCCGAGATGTGGTCCCAGAAGCCCATTAAAAAAAGCTTTAAAAGTTTTTACTCAGTATATATGTTCTTATTTCAGAGAATGGCCTTCCCAGATCTTCTTGTCATTCAGACCTCACCCCACATGTCACTCCTTCAGCAAGGTTCTTACTCATAGTGCTAACCCAGCTTCCTTCATCCTCTTTAAAATTTTATTTTCTAAAGATCCCACCTGGTATTTTCTTATTTGTTTATCTATTTGCTACATGTCCCCCAACTGAAATGAAATAGTCCTTCATAAGAGCATTAATAGGGTTTATACCTAGAAGAACACCTGGAACATACCCTAAATATGACCTCAATACATTTTTGTAGCCTAAAGGCAACATAGGATATTAGTTTTAGAATATGCTTTAGAAAACAGGTTAAAATTCTGGCTCTCTATGTGATCTTGAGCAAGTACCTTAACTTCACTAAACTTAGTTCACTTATATGAAAAATGAGCATAAAATTAAAAACAACTTCATATGGTCATGAAGATTTGATGAGGGTAAGGGTCATCTGAGCATAGTGTTCAGGCTCCAGGGACAGGCAGGTACAGATCCACCTTTTACCATCACCACTCAGGAAAACTCCTACATCTCAGTTTCTTCACCTGTATTTTACATCTCTTATCTTTTTCATACAGTAGGAAAGCATATTAACACAGTATAATACTAATCGACACTCAGCACAGGATCTAGCATATGATTATATGATAACTGTTTAATAAATATGTTCAATGGAACTGTACTTCTGATATAACACATAGGAGCACCTGTACAGTATGGTTGAAGTATAAGAGCAAATACCTGAGAGGAGTCAATCTACCTTTTAATAAAGGAAAATGAAATTATGTCATTTGCAGGAAAATGGATGGAACTGGAGATCATCATGCTGAGCAAGATCAGCCAAACTCAAAAAGATAAATATCAAATAATTTTGCTCATATGTGACATCTAGACCCAAATAATAATAATAATCATAATAAGGCAGGATTGTAAAAGGGGAACTGTTGAGGGGGAAACCACTGGGAAGAGAAGAAAAAAGGAGAGGGCATGGGGGGGTGAATATGATCAAAGTACATTTTATGTATGTATGTATGAAAATAGCATAATGAACTCAACCAAAGTTGTTAAAAATGGGGACGAAGTTAAGAAACAGTAATAGAAGGGGTGAACTTGATCAAAGTATAATATATGCCATATATGAAAATAACACAATGAAACCCCCTCTTTTTTGGCAGTACTGGGGTGTGAACTCAGGACCTCAGACTTGCTAGGCAGGCTCTCTACCACTTGAGCCACTCCACCAGTTTTTTTTTTGTGTTGGATATTTTTGAAATAGGGTCTCCCTCTTTTTTTTTTTTTTTTGCCCAGGGTGGTCTCAAATCATAATCCTCCTGATCTCTGCCTCCTGAATAGCTAGGATTACAAGAGTGAGCCACTGGCATCTGGCCTAATGAGACCCCTTTGTATAATTAATTTATGCTAGTTTAAAAAAAGAGTGGAATCAGAGAAAATAGGAACCAATCCATTTCTGCACTGGATATTGTTTCAAGGGTTGATTCCTCATCTATAAATAATAACAGAAGCCATCTTAGAAGGTCATTGCCTTAAATGACCCAAATAATGTATGCACATGTGTATAAAAAAATAATAATAATTTTTAAAAAAGAGTATCCTAAAGAGAAAAAAAATGAGATAATGCATTTCTGTTTAGCTCACCCAAGTATCTACACAGTGCCTGGCAAATATTTCTTCATGGACACATGTGTCAATAGGATTGCTGTTTCTGACAATATGATTGTCACTAGTGTGAAGGTTGGGAAGATGAAAAGTGAAAGTTGCTATTTGTGGCTGACAGCCTAGGAGGAAACTATACTCTTGGCTATAAAGTTAATGTCCTTTAACAAGAGGACAAAAATTCAGATAGCAGAAATTGCTCATTAGCATCAATAGTTTGCTTTTATTACATCTGATTTACCCTAACTTTCTCTCAGTTGCAAGTGACCAAACCATAGTGCAAACATGAGGAATTGAGATAGGAGGGAGTATATTTCTCTCAAACCAGCTAATAACTGACTTTCAACTTATGACTGGAAAATCCAGTCATGGCAACTTCCATGTCACCACATTTCAACTCTCTGACCTGGAATGAGGCCTAAGTAAGCACAGTGTTTGTGCATATATTTGGGTCAGCCTGATCCCTCAGGACCTCCTTTTATCCAAATGAAAATAAATATCAGTTCAAAATTGTTCCCTAATCATTTCCTTGGGAAAACAAATTTAATTCTAGGCCTGCAAAACTGAAACCTAGCTGTCCTTCCTAAGGTCCCAAAGCAGATTGTTGCTAATGCTTATCCATTTCTTTCCTTCTCTTTCTTTTTCATGTCTTCCTAGGCTGTCATGGTGTCCCTATTAACAGATTACTCACCTGTGCTCCAGAAGCCAAAGTTTTGATGCCGTGATGCTGGCCAAGAGAAAAACAACGTTCTGCGGTAATAGAGTCAGTTTCTGAGGGAAAGAGAAGAATTTAAGATATAATAAATAAATCCCCAATACATGGTATGATTATGATGGTGAGACCTTCCTGGGACCCTTAATTTAAGTGCTGAGGCACTATAATACACTGCTTGACTTGTTTTAAACTCTCTTTGATTCATAATTTTTGAGTCACATTTGGGTATCATATTAATTATCATATATATTCACTTCAACAAAACATAAAATACTGTGCTCATACTGCATAATGTCTAAGCCATTAAATGTAATCTATGCTTATTACCTTAATAAATGATCACCCGTGCTAATTTATAAGTAAACATTTACCAGGCAGTCAGCTGCTGATAGATCTGTAGGCTCCGTTCATGTCCCCTGAGACTAACAAGGAAGCCAAATGATACATCCCTGCAGATGTGGTACTGTTTTCAGACCAATGAGGAAGATAAATAGTCACTTAGAGAGACAAATAATGAAATTCTTAGAAAACAACTATCACTGTGCCCAAACTGAAGTTTTTTTCCAATCATTTGTGGGAAGGGAGGGGGGTTCTTCTCTGTAGTGAATACTTAATGTTCCAAGATAAAAGGAGCCTTTGTTGGCAAGTGGTAAAAGCTTAGGTACTCGTCCAGGAACATAAGATCCGTTAGAGAGTGACATTTTTTCAGGTTCGAATTCTTCCAGCAGAAGCAATTTAATTTTTTCACATCTGTGCTTATCATATATCTATTCACACCACACACTAAATATTTCCATTAATCTATATTTTAGCCTGCCACATTTTAGCCACTCTTTTTCCTCCACTCTTTCTTCAGGACAATAAAAATTTGTATTGTTCAATTTTAATATAATTAAAAGTAGTTTTCTCTTGTGAGTGGCCAAATTTGTTGAATGACTATAATATAATTTAAAATGTTTTAGATAAAATGTTAGATAATGTAGGTAGACCTTTTCCTTCTGCCTCTGCCTGTGCTACCAAGTGCTGAGATTTCAGACATGTGCCTGGAACATTTTTTAAATAACACATTTTACAGAGGACAAAATAATGTAATTGTCTTTATGTCCCACCTCTATTATTAGAAGAATGCTTTTAGGCTAGTTGACTAATATTCTTCAGCTGACATCTACGACTTAAATGAATAACCAAGAATTACAAATTGAATTACAAATTAAATGAATTACAAATTGGATTTGCAATGAAGATGCAATAAAACATATTTTGTGGGGGAAAACAACTCATGATATTATAATTTTCCCAGTAAATATCACAGGTGACTTTCACATCTATGGTAATTTATTAGAAGTACTTAAGAAAGAGAGTAGAATTTGGTGGAAAATATTCTTTCTGCCAAGAGTATAGCAACAATTGACCCAGAAGGTGCCATGTGGACTGTGGAGGCTCACCCTTATACATCCCTTCCATGCGCCAAATGGTCCATGTCCCCCATGGTAATAGGTCTCCTATCTTTTCTTGGTTCTTCTTTGCATCAAATGTACAGTCTAGGCATCTTCCCTCAATCAGAAAGAATTTATAATCATTTTCTTCCCAGAATATAGTCACTTTTTCCTTGAGGAAAGTCCCCAAGCTTGCTTTTCTATAATTTAACACCTTTTTGAACCAGATTGGTAGGAATTTATTTGCTTTTTAAACTTTTCTTCTTGAGACAATATTTATATCATCAGAATAAAAAGAAAACAGTGGAGAAAAGTATGGCCTTAGTTTTTGCAAAGCTATTTTTATCTTCTTATACATTCCTCCCTCATTCCCTTTTTTATGTAGCTACTACAACTCCAGAGATTAACAAAAACTCTAGCAATGAACACTGGGTCCCTGGTGTATATAAGAAATCCTACCCACTTAATTAATATAAGTAGCCAAAGAGTCTTTTTTTCTTCCAGACTTTCTCCATGATAGCATTGGGAGTAGAAACCACAAGTGATTACACTGCAATGATTTCCATGTTGGGAAAGAATCATCAGTAGGTTGTGTTTTCTGTTTTTTTTGTTTGTTTGTTTGTTTGTTTTGGTGATTAGTTTCCAGGTATTTCAGAAAAATAATTTAATGTCAGCTATATCCAATGTATGTTGTGCTAATGATTTGACAATTATAAAGTCCCTGGGTAGAAAGATCTGCAGAGAGGGTAAATATGGCAATACCATGTAAAACTTTCTACATTAGTAACCCTACAACCTCAGTTAAAACTGCAGGGTCTCTTTGGTCCAATTCCAAAGTTCCAGAGCAAATCTTCTCATGGAATAAAAATAAATAAGGAATGCATATGAAGAGGGTATCCAGAACACAAGCTTTCGTGGAAGCACTCATTGATGACTTATATGGAGATGATTAAGTCACATCTTGAGAGATGGCGCCACTCAGCAAATAGTATTAATGTCTTTTAACAAATATGAAAGGTCATACTGAACAACAGAGGATCAATCAAGTCACAATGAGCAGCCTTCTACAACCAGGAATGCCATATACTGCCATGCAAGTTGTGCCCATGCAAAGGTCACAGGTGAAAGATAGCAGCAGAGGTCAACCTGGTCTGCACTTTAGTTATGAAGTTTTATGTCTCCTTACAGGCCCTGCAACTAGGAAGAAGTACTTTTTATAAGTTGTCTACTCAGAAGGGACACTTTTCAATATTTCATAAGCCTAAATAGGTGCTTTGTTTTAAATCATACAAAAGACCAGAATCTAGTAGGCAGTCCTGCCATCAACTATTTACATCAGGAATTTTTTCATATCACCTTGTACTTGAGGACAATGAGACACATAGAGATAATGCAGTGATGGTTTTGGTGTCTTTCCTTAGTTTCTGCTAGGTTCCTTAAGACCTCACAGTGTCTGTCCATTGCAACATGTACCTGAAACAGATAATTTAAATGGATTTGAGAATCAACTCTGCAGTTCTATAATATTATATGGAAATTCTTCCTTAAAAATTATCAAGAAAAATTAATATCAATTATTGCTAAAAGAACCAAGGTCAGATCAACTGGAAGTGAATTGCCTGTCATGGGCTGAAACTTTTCAGCCCTATTAAGCCTGACTTATGTCAATCACATGAGACATAGTTTCTAATCAGTGCGCTTGTGAAACTCATCCCTACAAAAAATGTGAAAACAACTGTGTTCTGGAACAAAATCATTAGGCAAATGAACTTTAAAACTGGAACAGAGTTTAAAAATAATCCAATCTATCCCTTCATTTTACAAAAGAAAAAAACTAGGAAATAACCACGTTCCAAAAATAGAAATGTATTCAACAGATACATTTCTGTATAATGAGTTTAAACACCCCCCTGAAAATTATTTGGGATACTAAAAATATAGCCACTTAATTTGATTTGCCCATAGGCTCAGGAAAATAGAAAGCTGGCTGGTCCAGGACTATGGTTCAGTGAGGCCAGAGGTTAGAGAGGAAAGTTCATACCTGATCCAGGAATGGACACTGATATCCAGGAGTATGAACAGAGACCAAAAGTACATTCATTAGGTAGATGTTCATGGTGTCCCATCCAGATTCCTTTTACCTGGGTTCCCTGTCTGGATCTATCTGTCCCCCAGCTGCTATCAGGGTTGGCTGCTAATGGCTCAGAGCTGCTCTTTTATCTGAAGTGCTGCCCTCAGTTATCAGGAAACAATAGGAGGTCAAACTCCCCCCCACCACCACCACCAGCAGCCCACAGTCAATGAGTGGCCCATATAGGGACAGAAAATCTTGGCACTCTTCCCTCCATCAGGATTAGCTCTGCAGTAGAATTTATGCTTCAGAACTCCCTGTGGTGGGGGGGTTATAAGCTAGAATCTGTCTTGAGACCACATCCTTATCATCCTTGCTTAGCTTCTCCTCCCTGCTCTAACCCGCTTCCCTTCTTCTGAGAACACTTCCTCCATAAATCTCTTGCACAGGAATCCCCAGCTCAGGCCCTGCTTTGAGGGAATCTGATGGCCCATAAATGAGATGTTGCACAGGGTTAGGGGGTCATCTGGACTACTCATCCTTTAAGCATCAAGGGAAGGGTAGGGAGGTTAGAGGCCATTTGCCAAATAATAAAGAGATTGTACTTAGCAATAAACACTTTTCCAGTAACCAGGATCAGAATTTTGTATTCTGATTATTAGAAATAAAATAAATATTTTCCTACCGCATGTTCAAATTCCTAACAAGGAATTTGTCACCTGCAGGAAGAGTAAAACCAATTTACTTTCCCCACACAAGAGATCTAAGTAAACTGACATAGTACTTCAGATTTGTTTTTATGATATTCTAACATCTTTATATAGCATCCTTATATTGGCAGCCCCTGTGGCTGTAGGTCTGTGCTTTGCACTAGCTTCCTGGGGCCATGTTGACATACTTTAGTGGTTCTCGACCTTGGTGCATCAGAATTCCCTGAAGGGATGGGTAACACACACATTGCTGAACCTCATCCCTAATTCTGATTTGGCAGGTTTAGAATGAAGCCTGAAAATCTAACATGTTACAGGGATGCTGATATTGCTGGTCCAGGGACTGTGCTTTTAGAATTATTAGTCTGAGGCAATTCTGAACACATAAAAAGTGTTTCCATCCCCACATTCATAAATTATCACTATAAAGTATTTAGCTCAACTCACATCATCTGACTATTGTTCTGTTTTTGGAGTTGCTGAAGTCTAGGTTTCTTCCTTAGATATTCAAGAGCCATCTAACCCTGCTCTCCTTATCTATAAAATGGGAATAATAATGTTCATATCATAGAGTTGTTGGGAGGATTAAATGAAGTATATGCTAAAGTATTTGGCTCAGAGCAGATGCTAAATAAATATTAACCCTCGTTTACTTATTTGAATATTTCTAACCCATTATATTTTTCTTTAGCCCTTTATTAAAAACTTATATCCCATCTTCATAAAGATACTGAGTAGAGGAGTTGCTATAAATAAAAGTACAAGGAGTGAATTTGTCTTCTGAAACTTCCAGAATTCCACAGCTGATGCTTCCACTGAGCCATTTCTCACTGCAG